TTCTAGATCTTTGGAAAGTATAATTGTTTAATTGAGCTTGTTTCGAATGTAACACCCTTGTGTATGGCATACCTTTATCCTGTTTGTAAGAATAGTAATCTGGTAAAATGGTTAAGAATGTCTAAGAATGATCGACTATGAAAGTCATCGTCTCCATATAAGGGGCACTATGGAATATACTACTTGAAAGAAGTTAGAAAACAGACCATTTTTTCAAATTACTATAGTTAGCTGAAATCATATGACAAAATTGAGTGTCCTTTAACTTCTTTTGAGTAGTATATATAACAAAGGATCTGTAGTTTGAGTGGCTTTTTTAGACTGTAAGGATTCTGCAGAGACTATAAACATTGTTTGTTTGTTGTTTATAGCCACATTCAGTCATTCAGTAATATTCCAGCTATAGTGGGCTGTAAATAATCAAATCTGGACGAGACGATCCAGTGACAGATATTATGAGCAACCATCCATGCCATCGAGATACATTGACATGCAATCAACCAAGTCACCAAGTCTGACCGCCCGTTCCATTTGGTCACCTCTTACAACTAGCACAGGTTGCTGGGATCTGTTCTAACCCAGAGTTCTCATGGCGCCCAGAAAGATTGAAGAAGTTACATTACCGCTGAAATATTACCGATGTGACTTGAAATTTTAATCCACTCTTAAAACATTAAGGTTGTTTGAGTTAGCCAGGTTTGACTGTGGACAGTTTAAGGATTCATATTTTGCAATAATTGGTGAATGAGGATTTTATCATCACAATCTCTTTTCTTACACTTTTCACAATTATGCACACTTTTCACATTGTTATGAACGAAATATCAAATGTGAATTCATTGCCTGATAATATTTGTTATTAACTATTATCATATATTCATGTTCAATTTGTTAGAGTAGAAAAATTATAGATGTTGTTCTTTTCCTTTCCACTTAAAGCATTGTGAAACGGTGATTAAGAATAATGAAGACTGTATAAGACGACATAGCCATTCTTGGGCTAATGATTGAAACCCCCTTAAAATCACTGTCCACTTGGCCACTCCTATCAGCATGATGCCCGACTTTGAAGTTACATCCTCATGTTCCCACAGCATCCTATTTCAGTTCATGGTATTGTAATGACCACTTCATGTTTCTGGTATTCTGTGTTCATGTCAACAAGTCAATGTGACCAGAAGTTGTCCATTTGAATCCTCCCCTAACTACAACGATATGATAGCATATACATGGTTTGTTTTGTTTGTTTGTTTGTTGTTTGGCACTGCACTCAGCAATATTACAGCTATATGACAACAGTCTGTAAATAATTGAGTCTGGAACAGACAATCCAGTGTTTGACATAATGAGCATCGATCCATGCAATTGGGACACGATGACATGTATCAACCAAGTCAGCGAGCCTGACCACCCGATCCTGTTAGTCGTCTCTTATGACAAGCAAAGTCGCCTTTTACAGAAAGCATGGGTTGCTGAAGACCTATTCTACCCTGGATCTTCATGGTCACATGCATATGATAGTATACACATGGTAATATTACTGTATTAAGAAGCTTTGTAAATGGACAATTATAAGTCATTACTTTTGTTGCTGTTGTGAATTAGTGTTAACCAAGGTTAAAGATTAATCCTAAAATAAAACTGTATGGTACGACTGTCAACAAAACGATGTGTGCAATGGGTTGTGTGTGTGTGTGTGTGTGGGGGGGGGGGGGGGGGGGGGTTGGGTTGGGTTAGGTAGGGTTGTGGTGGGTTGGGGTGGGTGTGGGTGTGTATTTGAATTAAGATTTTAGGGACATTTATCATGTTTATGGATATTTTAACCTATGCATTGCTGCTGAATTAGTCATTTTGTTACGTCACACGACAAGGGCTGTTCCTTCTTTGGGAGGCTGTTTTTTAAAAACGTTTTGGTACAGAAATGAGTGATGTCATCAGTATCATTTGATGTCATTCCTTCCTTTGATAGTGTACATGCTTACAGTAATATATGAGCCTGACAAAATATTGGCAGTTTACACAGACACTCTGAAATCAGCATACGGGTCTTTGGTGCAGTAAATGGCGATTATTTTGACACGTTTGCTTTATCGCCAAAATGTATCTTGTCAGTGTGTTGTGCACTCACTCTATTAGCCAATCAAACAGCAGATGAGGGATGTGTTCGCACCGTGCTGCAAGTTCCTGGTACGGTTTGCAGGCTGGAACTATCAAACATGGAAACTGCACTTGATTAAAATTTATTGTGCTGAAAGATGTGTTGAGTACTAGAATGACAATAACAGTGTGCACCAGATAGCCAGGTAATGGTGGCAGCTTTGGTGCATGCACTCTAATATGAAACGTACGAGCCTCTTAATGGTGGAAGGCTCAGGCACAAGGCTCAGGGCAGTAGGGCTCTTAGTTGTTCAGTAGGTTGAGGTAAAGTATTCATTGCTGTAAACGTTTTTATCATTACTATGATTAATCACTTCAAATTCAAACAGGCCGATGGCCTAGTTGCACCCAGACACATAGGTTGGCCCTGGCGTCTTGATATTGGATGTGATGTCACTTGCTCTTCCTGTTACGGTTCACCCACAGGAACAATTACTTTGATAACACGATAGATCATTTTGTTTCAATTAAGGTACAGTCACTTAAGGTGCTGCAATTCCTATTTCAAAATTGCGTCCCTTAGATGTGGGTTCAAATCCCATATTCACCTGATTATTTTTGTGAACACATATACTTCTTGTAGCAAATACCTAGGGCCTGCATCACTTTGGCTTTTTCCTCAAGATGACACACCAAGATATAACAGCCCAAAACAGTGCTAAACTCAAGCCACTCATAAATAACTACACACTGCTATTGTTAGGGAACTTTCATGTTGCTGAAATATTTCTAAAATTTCTTCTACGTGTGAAGATCTGGGTTAGAATAGGTCTTAGGTTACCCATGCTTGCTGTAAAAGATGACTATGCTTGTCGTAAGAGGTGACTAAAGGGATCGGGTGGTCAGGCTCGCTGACTTGGTTGATGCATGTCATCATGTCCCAATTGCATGGATCAATGCTCCTGACAACAATCACTGGATTGTCTGGTCCAAACACAATTATTTACAGCCTGCAGTTATATAGCTGGAATATTGCTGAGTGCAGCGTTAAACAACAAACAAACAAACAAAAATCTAAAGTGGCTTCAAATCACACTGACACTAAAAACCCAACGATCCAATATTTCCAGACATGACCACGATGAGAGGTAACCCGGATCAGCGAATGAGACCTCCAATCTAACCTGTGTTGTTGCCAGTATAATCCGTAGAGCCAGTGTCAGTAGTGTGAGGTGTGCATCGCAGTGTGGTGTAGACCAGCTGGATGGACTCAGCACGTTCACCATGGTATACCTACACCGACGCCCCCCATTGCTGTTATCGGAGAGTGTTTGAATAATGTAAGTCCACCTCTGTTGCTGACAACCATTGCCTGGGATGAGCTCTGACGAGGAGCAACTGGAGAGTGGGTGCTGCTCTGGTGCAGGGAAAAAATGGAGCTGTATTTGGTCCGCTTGAGGGATTGTCAATCCATTGGTGTCATGTTAATTTTGATAGTATGGTCTGTTTGTTTGGTGAGAAAACCTAATATGATCAGTGATAAAATCTACTGCGTGAATGAACTCTATGGAATCTTGGTACAAGGAAAGCTTGAATTGGTTATCTTGAAGGTCTTGGGCCTCAGTCAACGGTGTAACAGGTGTATATCATTGGTCTGTGAAGACTGGGCCTTGATTGGGACATGTATATCATTGGTCTGTGAAGAGTGGGCCTTGATTGGGACATGTATATCATTGGTCTGTGAAGACTGGGCCTTGATTGGGACATGTATATCATTGATTTGTGAAGAACGATTGGGCCTCTAACAAGTGTATATCATTGGTCTGTGAGGTACAATAGGGCCTCTGTCAGGTGTATATCATTGGTCTTTGAGGTACAATAGGGCCTCTGTCAGGTGTATATCATTGGCCTATGAGGTACAATTGGGCCTCTGTCAGGTGTATATCATTGGTCTGTGAGGTACAATTGGGCCTCTGTCAGGTGTATATCATTGGTCTGTGAGGTACAATTGGGCCTCTGTCAGGTGTATATCATTGGTCTGTGAGGTACAATTGGGCCTCTGTCAGGTGTATATCATTGGTCTGTGAGGTACAATTGGGCCTCTGTCAGGTGTATATCATTGGTCTGTGAGGTACAATTGGGCCTCTGTCAGGTGTATATCATTGGTCTGTGAGGTACAATTGGGCCTCTGTCAGATGTATATCATTGGTCTGTGAGGTACAATTGTGCCTCTGTCAGGTGTATATCATTGGTCTGTGAGGTACAATTGGGCCTCTGTCAGATGTATATCATTGGTCTGTGAGGTACAATTGGGCCTCTGTCAGGTGTATATCATTGGTCTGTGAGGTACAATTGGGCCTCTGTCAGATGGATATCATTGGTCTGTGAGGTACAATTGGGCCTCTGTCAGGTGAATATCATTGGTCTGTGAGGTACAATAGGGCCTCTGTCAGGGGTATATCATTGGTCTGTGAGGTACAATAGGGCCTCTGTCAGGTGTATATCATTGGTCTGTGAGGTACAATTGGGCCTCTGTCAGGTGTATATCATTGGTCTGTGAGGTACAATTGGGCCTCTGTCAGGTGAATATCATTGGTCTGTGAGGTACAATTGGGCCTCTGTCAGGGGTATATCATTGGTCTGTGAAGGCCATCAATAGGCCTCAGTAATATTGCAGGAACTGGGCCTATATATTAAAGGTGTATGTCATCACACTGGTGCACAAGGCCGTGTCGCAGTATTGCATCGGTATATCCCTGATCTGTGGATTATAGTTGGGACTCAGGTGTCAGTTTTTGGCCCCGTTTATGAAATATGACCATGACAACTGCACAAGTGCACTAGTTAAACTTGCCTCTCTTTGGCAGCATCACAAACTACTGACACTACTTTTAACATTGCAGGGAGACATCCGTGATGCGGCTGCGGTACATGCAGCTGTAGAAGGTGCCAATGTTGTGTACCACATGGCGTCGTATGGCATGTCAGGCAGGGAACAGGTAGGTTGTTATTTTCAAATTAGCTGTCACAACATTTGTAAAGGTTGCACAGTACCTTTTGGAAGCTTAACACATGGTCATCCTTTTTTGCAGCACATGATAATTTTGCCAATAACATTTGATAATACTGTCTACATCACATAATAATCCTATACACAGCACATGATAGTCCTATACACAGCACATGATAATCAAAACACATCACGTGATAATCCTATACACAGCACATGATAATCCTATACACAGCATGGGATAATCCTACACACATCTTGTGATAATCCTATACACAGCATGTGATAATCCTATACACATCACGTGACAATCCTATACACAGCATGTGATAATCCTATACACAGTATGGGGGCGGTCGGGTAGCCTAGTGGTTAAAGCGTTCGCTCGTCACGCCGAAGACCCGGGTTGGATTCCCAACATGGGTACAATGTGTGAAGCCCATTTCTGGTGTCCCCCGCCGTGATATTGCTGGAATATTGCTAAAAGCGGCGTAAAACTATACTCAGTTAGTCAGTATACACAGTATGTGATAATCCTATACACAGCATGTGATAATCCTATACACAGTATGTGAGAATCCTATACACAGCACGTGATAATCCTACACACATCACAAGATAATCCTATACACAGCATGTGATAATCCTACACACAGCACATGATAATCCTGCACACATCACATGATAATCCTATACACAGCACATGATAATCCTATACACAGCATGTGATAATCCTATACACAGCATGTGATAATCCTACACACATCACATGATAATCCTATACACAGCATGTGATAATCCTATACACAGCACATGATAATCCTGCACACATCACTTGATAATGCTGCACACATCAAATGATAATCCTGCACACATCACATGATAGTCCTACCCTCAGCACATAATCCGTCACTCATCACATAATCCTATACACGTCACATGATAATCCTATACACAGCACGTGATAATCCTACACACATCACAAGATAATCCTATACACAGCATGTGATAATCCTACACACAGCACATGATAATCCTGCACACATCACATGATAATCCTATACACAGCACATGATAATCCTATACACAGCATGTGATAATCCTATACACAGCATGTGATAATCCTACACACATCACATGATAATCCTATACACAGCATGTGATAATCCTATACACAGCACATGATAATCCGGCACACAGCATGTGATAATCCTATACACAGCATGTGATAATCCTACACACATCACATGATAATCCTATACACAGCATGTGATAATCCTGCACACATCAAATGATAATCCTGCACACATCACATGATAGTCCTACCCTCAGCACATAATCCGTCACTCATCACATAATCCTATACACATCACATGATAATCCTATACACATCACATGATAATCCTGCACACAGCACATGATAATCCTACACTCAGGACATAATCCTACACACAGCAAGTGATAATCCTGCACACATCACATGATAATCCTTCACACATCACATGATAATCCTGCACACATCAAGTGATAATCCTGCACACATCACATGATAGTCCTACCCTCAGCACATAATCCGTCACTCATCACATAATCCTATACACGTCACATGTTAATCCTACATACATCACATGATAATAGTACACACATCACATGATAAACCTACACACAGCACGTGATATTTCTACTTTCAGCTCATGATAATCCTACACACATCACATGATAATCCTACACACAACACTTGATAACCCTTCCCCAATATATTATGCACCTCCGTCAACAATATTGCCACATTCTCACCTCACAGAACCTGATACAGTAAGTCACTGCATATAGATTCAGTTAGCATCAAACATGCTCAACTGTTTTTTACAAAAATATATCAGTAACAAGAAGTAACACCAGCAGAGCATTATCCACTGGAAGCCATCATGGCTGTCTGCTGACCCTGGGTGTGAGGGAATATTTCCCATGGTATGGGAGAGGTGTTTCCTCCACAGGCCCAGGGCAAATCAGAGCGAGCTGTTCACGATCAGTAACAAATGTTCTCTTCAGCAGTCATTATAAAAAACACCTGACTCCCTCACAAATATGAGTGACACTTGCTGGTGTGTTTGGGAATGGTCACCTTGTGGTTGGGGGTCATGCAAATGAAAGAAATCCCACAGTGATGAACACCCACATTGTACTGTAGGGTGGAGTAGCTCTGTGGTGAGTGTGCTTGCTCATCATGCTTAAGACCAGGTTCAAGATGTTCTGTAGCCCATGAGGGTCCAATGTGAGAAACATGTTCTTGGCATCACTTGCAATCATATTCCTGAGAAGTACTAACGTCGACTTCTCTCACAATGTAATACATCTCCTCACAGACTCACGCATCTCTTAACGTCGACTTCTCTCACAATGTAATACATCTCCTCACAGACTCACACATCTCTTCACCCCATACAAGTCACCATCCAGGAAGAGGACAAGAGAGGGTTGACAAAACATTAGATCTGAAGACATTAGACGTTTATATATGAACTCTCTTCTTATATGATGATATTGTTATACATCTTTGAAGGTGTCTGTTTATAGAAATCGTCCTATGCATTGGGCTTCTTGTATCCAGGAGGTTGGTACATAGCCACGTGGTTAAAGCATTGGCTCAACTTACCAGAGACCTGGTTTGACTAAACATGGGTATTATGTCTAATGCCTATTTTTGGTGTCCCTTGTCAATGCCAGCCATGTTGCCAGCATATGACTGGCTTGTTGCTATAAGCAGCATAAAACAAGGCTGGCTGTGTATATATATGAGATCGCAGGGCTGGGATGAGTCCAAATTTACTACCCAGGTACCCACCCCCATTTTACCCAACCCTACCTGGGTACCCGCTGTAGGTCTCATGAGATAAATAAAAACTGTCCATTTAGGGAAGTGTGACCGTAGCCCTGGCAAAATGTGCTTAGATACACCTATAAATTGATCTGGTCATGCATACACTGAAGTTGACTCAAAATTTTATCTTTATTCAAACATATACAATTCAGAAGAAATGGGTGCACAGTTAGAAAGACATGCAAACATTATAGTGACTTATAGTCTAACCAAAGAGTTTTAGATATTTTTTGTCATTAAGCAATATAATATGTCACTAACCACGGGTCCGGATATTCCTGTGTGTACCCGGGTCCTACTCATTACCCAACCGACCCGAGTACCCGAGTTACACGTCCCAGCCCTCTAAGATCTTATGTTAATTTTTCAAGCTGAAACCTTTGAAATGTTTGTTTATAAGACTTCAAGTCTTTAACAGCTAAAGACATATTGTTTCCTTTGAAGAGAGCTTGGTTTCATAGTACTTCCTCATTCCTTGACACTACAAAAGCCTTAAAGAATTGTTTTAAACAAGTCCTTGTACATACAAACTCTTTCAAAGTCATAAACATTTGTTAAAGAATTTGCAGCTGAATTCAAATGAAAATTGTTACCAGTTCTCCAATCTTCCACAGACAGTAAAAACAATTATGGCTGAACACGGCCCTTCATTATCTTTCCGCTGTTAACAGCTGAAACAAAGGTATAATGGCGCCCAGCAAAATTAAATTATAGGAGGTTTTCTGTCTTACAATCACCTGTCATCTGTTTAAGCATCAATAAAAGCTATTCCATACAGGCACGTTAATGACCCAAGGGAGATAATTCTCTGTCCAAATGATTGCCCACGTAGTTAATTCTATTACACTTTCTCTGATGAACAGCCTGTTGGGAACTGCTGGAAAGAGAAGTTTAGAATTGTTTTAAATTAACTGCCTTCGCCATGTTCACAGCCAGTGTGAAATAGTTGCAGCAAAATAGGAAAAAATAATGAATGTTTTGGGCGATGATTGAATTTTGATTACGTGTATGTGGATACAGTGACCGACATTAATTCACTTTGATTTTGTGTTTTAAATAGAGTTTTTAATGACTTATTGATCCATGTTTTATGATATTGAATCATTTTGTGTTAATGAAACGTGACAGACTTGGCAGTTTGAGACGTCTATTAAAATGAGTGAGTAGGCTAGATTGATGCTATTTCATGCGTTTTCAGCAATTTTCCCACTGCACACCTCATGGCAGCTGGACAGGAGATGAAAAGCCTTAAATAATCAAGCTGATTGTTTTCCCTAATTGAAACTTTGAGGATTTAGGCTGTGTTAAGAAAATCATGGCAGAAAGTTTTAATTTAACACTGCACGCTACTGCGGTGTAAATGAAGACAGCACAACCACACAGCTCCTGATGTCTTTGAATTCTGTTTTCAATTAAGTCATGGCTGAAAGTGTGAATGTTGGCCTATTTAAAACTTAGTTAATAGATTTTTTTAAAACCCAGGGTGGCTGAAATCATGGAAATAACTTTTTAAAAATAATTGTCAAAATTCATATACTACTCAAAACAAGTTAGGAACCACTTAGTTTCATATTATTGTGAATCTGTCATGTCATGTCATGGCATGACAGATTAACTGAAGTAATATCAAAGCATCCTTAAATTTTGGGGGGTAGTTTATTATCTCTGCAAAGAGATGTTGGTAGAATGAATTGAAAAAAGGAAATGAAAGAAAGCTACCGCTTTGGAACAGTGCTGAACGGTTCTTTGAATGACAAGAGTTACTTCCCTTTCCATATCTATTCAATTTGAATTCATTCTTAAGTACCAGTACTTGAATTTGTTCTCAGAAGGAAAGAACAAACCCCTGAGACATATTAAACATTTATTCAATATCTGTAACATTTTGGATTGTATGAGCATTTTGAAATGATTGATCTGTGAACCAAGTGGTAAAATAATTTAAAAGCTGCCGAAGACATTTAAGTTCATGTCGGGGAGTTACAACTAGGAATGACATTGTACACACAAGTAAATTCCTTAGAGCCCAGTGTCATCATTGTTGATTTCCTTGTCAAATGTTTTCACTTTGAACAGTCTTTTGCCCCTCCATTTAGACTCTACATAAA